CAGGAAGACACTCAGGAAGCCCACAGGGAGGCCCAGATGGTGCAGAACTGAAGTCAGCAAGAAGCTGGGGTCTGGCGATGCCTGTGCAAATGAGCTTGGAAATGAGTCAGGCTTCCCCGAGACTGCTTACCAGACCTTGAGCCAGAACCATGCAGCCTGGCCACCTCCAGACCCCTGGCTGTCACAAACTGCAAAAGAATAAATATTTGTGATTTAAGGTGTTACCTTTGGAAGTCATTTGTAACCCAACAATAGATCATTAATGCATTCACCAAGGAAATTAAAATTAATACAGACCTGCTCACATAACTAAAATGTGTTACAGGCCATTTATTCCTAGGGCTAACAGAGCAAACCTCACATGGAGTTGGAAGCCCCATAGAATGAGGCTGGAGCTGGGCCTCATCCCTCCCCTTGCCCATCAGTGCCCACAGCAGGAAGTCAGGCAGCCCCGTGGAGGGCCCTCTGCCTCTGTGGGGCTGAGCAGTGGTGCCTGTGCATCCTCACTCACCTTCCTTGCAGGATTCCACCCCCACCCCCACCATCAGAGCTCAGTTAAATGATGACAGGCAGACACGCTCATACGGAACTGTTTACTAAGCCTAGCAAGGGAGAGCACAGCCTTGGCAGACTGAGAATAACAGGTACCCAGGAAAGGATGCCTAGAGAGTTTGGGGGGCTGGGACAGTCATAGCGGGGGTACATGACAGAGGTAAGTGGATCTGGGAAGTGGTTGGCCATTGATAAGCTAAATTAGTTGCTGGAGTATCTTTAGAATCTGAGGCATTTTACTTTCCAAGTACTAGCAAAGAAACATTGTGAGTTGGCTGTATAGTTAAAATACCATGTACAGCAGCACATAGATATGAAGCACAGAGATTGATCTTTAAATGTATGGGCAAGACCACTATGCCAACAACTATGCAATGTTGCTGAAATTTAGAAAGGAAATCAATGTAAAAATATGCTAGGTTCCTAGACTGAAAGAGTCTATGTGGTTAAGATGTTTCTCTTCTCCTCAAATCTAGTAAAATTCTCAGTAGGTTTGCTGACCACAAATTCTCTTAAATCTGAGAATGTTTGAATTTTATGTTTTAATTCCCATTCCTGATGGATATTTTAGAGTAGCAATTCTTTTAGTAGTAGCAATTCTTTTCTTTCAGTATTATGTCCCCACTTCCTTTTGATTTCTGTGATTTCCAAGGAGAAATCTGCTGTAAATTGGATTGTTCTTCTTTTATAAATAATGTGTGGATTTTCTCTAGCTGTCATCAAGATTTGTCTTTATTTTGTAGCAGTTTTAGTTATAGTGTACTGTGTATAGTGTATTTAGTTATAGTCTATTTAGTTATAGTGTATTGAGGTGTAGATTTCTATGAATGTATCCTGTTTGAGATTTATGGAGTTTCTTGAATCTGTAGACTTATGCCTTGTGTTAAAATTGAGGTATTTTCCACCACTAGTTCTTCAAGTATATTTTCTTCCCTGTACTCTTTTTCCTCTTCTAGGATGCTGATTACACAAATGTTAGATGTCTTATTATTTTTCATAGTTCCCTAAGGCTCTGTTACTTGTTTAAAATCCCCTTTTCTCTCATTGTTTAGATTGGCTACTTTCTGTTGATGTTATTTTCAGGGTCAAAGACTCTTTTCATCCCCAATCTTCTATGGAGTCCCTCTGATGATTTTTTAAATATTTGTGATTGGATTTTTCAAGTTCTAAATTTTCCATCTTGTTCTTTATGTCTTCTACTTCTTTCCTGAGATTTTCTGTCATATCATGAGTGTTATCTCTTACTTGCCGGAGACAGTTTATAAAAGCCCTTTTAACATGGAGTCGGTTAAAGCCACTATCTATGTCTTCTCTATGTTGGCATTTCTGAGTTGTGAACATTTGAAAAAATGTTTTACAATAAAAGACACATTGAGATAAGTCCCCCTCAGAATACTTCCACTCACTTCAAACACTTATCCCATCCTTCTTGCCACTTTCTGAAGCAGTTCTGGAGTCCTCTTTCCTGAGTGTCTTTATGAGGTGTGATCAGATATATAATGACTGCTGCCACCAAGTGCCATCCAAAGGAAAGCCAGGCTCACACAAACATCACTGTGTGCCCTCGTCCATCTTGTTCACCAGATTTGCCACTGTGTGATTTCTGGCTCTTCCTCAAAGACAAAATGACCATGAAAAAAAGTGATCTATTTGAGTTGGTTGAGGACATGGAGGTAGCCATGACAGTGCAACTAAAGACATTCTCAAAAGAGGACTCCAGAGCTGCTTCAGAAAGGGGCAAGAACCATAGGAAAAGTGTGTTGGAAGCAAGGGGAAGTATTTTGAAGGGTATTTATTGGGAATGTGTCTTTTACTGTAAGGAAGGTTTAAAAATTTAAATACCATATTGTTCTATCATGTTACATATTGTCTTTTCTCATGAAAACAGATTTTCTTGGTTACTCATATGCAGAGTTATTTTGTATTGTATTCTAGATGTTTAGAATATTATGCTGAGTCTCTTGGTCTTGTTCAAATCTTCAGGGAAGGTTGACATTTTGTTTTATCCACAGCTGGCAACTGTAGGCGGCAGGAGTGCACTTGCTGTCTCTCACCTGGAGCTGGGAACTGTCCCCACCCCAGCAGTCTTTTTAAAAACTATACTGCAAAAAACTAAATTTAAGATTAATATGAAGAAGCAGTAGATC